CGGGTATGTCACCCCCAAATATGCCACTTTGATGCCAACATTGTTTGGGCTGGAGGCAGTTAATTCTCTGCCCTCGGCCTCTCTATCTAAAAGCAGAGCATAAATGTACCTTTGGAACAGCTCTTCCACACCAGGAAGAGAACTTATCCTGGAGACGCTCAACTAGAGGACTATTATCTACATTGCAAAACTTGCTAAACAACCTTTGCTTACCATACTGTCCCAGTAATCTTCCTGTGGTTTATCCCATCGGGAAGCACAAACCTCTTTTGTCTAGACTCTTCTCCACACCTTATCATCCTTAGTTAAGATTACATAAAACCACTCCCTTCTGACATATGTCTTTGCAAACTCTTATTTTTTAACCTTTTTAACCTTTTTTTTAAAGATTTATTTGTGCATACAGAACTGGGGTACAGGCCAGAGGCTCAGGTGCGGCGAGAGGTCTCACTGGAGACAGAGTGGGGAACAAAACAGGCAAATAGATGAAGTACACTGCTGAGGGGAGCAGCGGGCGGGTCAGGAGAGGTCTGCCATGCCATGTGGTCACCTCCGGGGCAGGCGGGAATCGAACTCATGCGGAAGTGGCTTTAGATTCTCAGTGCTGTGCTTTAACCTGCTGCGCCACCAGGGAGGGCCCTTTTTAAACTATTTTTAATCTGACTTTCGTGCATTTAATTTGCAGGGTCACAGGCAATGATCTCTAGAGGATAGAGAAAAATATATCAGGGCTTTTGCATATACGTATAAACTCTCATGCTATTTTTGATTATTGCAATATTTGCCTCAATCATCTTTTCAAAAGCCCATCAGCATGTCCCCCACAGTGGGAGCACTCAAAGTGAAGTTGCGGGCCCCTCATCATTGTTCCCACACACTCCAGTTCTCCATATCCTGGTGCTTATCCCATTACATCCTAATGGTTGGGTTTCTCTTGACACTGTCGCCCAATAAATTGTAAATGCCTGAAAAGATATTAAGAAGTAAAAACTTTGCTTTGTTAAAAAAAAAAACAAACCTGTAACTAGTGTAACTAGTCCACTCTCAAGCAGTACATCAGGAAACAAAGGGAGACCTGTCAATAGTCAGGGCAAGTGTGTGAGGTGTGGTAAGGGGTTCCTCCTCACAGTCAGAACAAGCTAATCCCCAATACAGATTCAGGCCCTTGTTATTATTTTGGTCTGACTTGGGGTGGGTGGGTTGCTTGGTTGATTGGTTGTTTTGGTCTGTTTTTTACTTCTGATTTTGATTTTAGTTCCTAGCATCTTCCAAGGTACTGTCAGAGAATGAACTGTGGTTAGCACTATGGAAAGCTGGGTGGAGGTTCCTTGAACTACTAAAAATGAGCCGCCACGTGACCCAACAATTCCACTCCTAGGCATCTACCCAAAGGACACAAAAACATTAAATCAAAAGGATACCTGTACAACTATGTTTACTGCAGCACTAGTTATAATAGGTAAGATTAAGAACCAACCAAAATGCCAAAAAATTAGATCACTAGATTGAAAAAAGGTGGTATATATAACAAATGAAATGCTATTCAGCAATCAAAAAAGAAAAACTCATGCCATTTGTAGCAACATGGATGGAACTAGAAGGGATTATGTTCAGTGAAATAAGTCAGAAGGAAAAAGAAAAATATCGGATGGTTTCACTAATAGGAGGAATATAGGGGAACCAAATAAAGGATCCGGAGGGAAATAACAACAATAAAACACAAAACAAAACAAAATTAACGGCAAATATAAGTCAGAGACACTGCAGGGGAGAGGGAGAGAGAGGGCTCAAAGCAGAGGCATGAAGAGCACAAGGGGCTATGGTGATGGTAAACGGGTAATGTGGTGCTGGGAATTCTGTGGGGACTACACCTGAGAAAATAAAACAAACATTGTAGAAAAATGAACACTGGGGAATCTCCTTGGTGGTACCACGGGTTAAAGCACCTCATTTTGAAGCTCTCCAAAGCCACTGCAGCACAAGTTAGATACCTCGGCCAGGGAGCTGACCCACATGGCGTGGCAGGCCTCTCCTGACCTGCCGTTGCTGCCCTCAGCGGTGTACTTTGTCACTCGCCTGTTCTGCGCCCCGGTCTGTCTCACCCACCACACCTCTAGCCTGTTACCACAGTTCTATTAACATAAATAAATAATTTTTTTTTAAAGTGAGCACAGATGTAAAAATATATAAATAAAGTATATTTTTAAAAAAGGAAGAATAGTGGTTGGGAAATTAGGAATCCTGGAAACTGGCCCCATTTTAACTACTGTGATGTTAACTACTGTGATTCCTACCAACTCACTTCATGCTCCCTCCCTCTCCATTTGTAAACTGAGGAAATAGTCTAAGATTGGTTCCTAAGCCTCACTGTACAAAGTCACCAAAGAAATATATAATAGGCACAATTTCCCCCCTGGAGCTCTGGTAAGACAGATGATCAGTCCAAATATTTTGGGGACCACTGGAAGGGGCAAAGATTTTAAATCAAGTAATACCTGACATCAAGTTCTAATTCCTCCACTCACTTCCTATGTGACTTTAAGCAAATTATATAACTTCTCTCTCTGTACCTGGGTTTATTTGTGTGTTACAGAAGAGATAGTAGCTAGTGTATAGCATTGAAGAGAAGAATAATGTATACAGAGTACCAACTAGTGACCGGTCCACAGCAGATGCTCAGTAAACAAGTGAAGTCCCTTTCCCCTTTCTGCATATTCTCACAGCACCCTGATATTCTTCTACCATGGTGCTTAAGACATTCTACACTGCAGGTCATCTATGTCTTATTCTCTAGTCCAAAGCCAGTGCTCAATGTGACTTATGAATTATAGCAGCCACGCAATAAATATTTTTTGAATTAATGAATCAAAAACATGCTAAAGTATAGAAACATAACCAGTTTCTCATCCTCTCAGACAAGATCCAATTCTGAGCTCCAGCAAAGGAGGAGCCATTCGTTTATTGATCTTTTTTCAAAGTTTTAAATTCTTTTCAAAGTCTCTTTCTGACATGGAATCAACCCATTGCCCAAAGTAGATGACTGGATTAAAAAGATGTGGTATCTATACACAATGGACTATTATTCAGCAATCAAAAAAGATAAACACATGCCTTTTGCAGCAACATGGATGGAGCTGGAAGGGATCATACTTAGTGAAATAAGCCAGAAAGAAAAAGAAAAATACCAAATGGTTTCACTCATAGCAGGAGCATAAAGGACCAGGGGGAAAATAATAAAGATGATGAACAACTATATATCAGAGACATTTTATGGGGGTGGAGTGGAGTATGGGATCAAAAACGGGGGCTTGGGGGTGGGCTATGCACTGGACTATGCACTGGACTAGGGTGATGGCCCATGGATGATTTGGTGATGGGAAGCCCACAGGGATTACAATTGAGATGGGAAAAGGCATAACATGATATAAAAATAAACTGTTATATTAAATTAAAAAAAAATCTCTAACACAAGCATTCTAAGGTTCTATGATTTCAGAAGATCCGGGACTGAATTAGTTCCAAGTATGTCCTGCAAATGTTTGGCTTCAAAATACCTATACTTACACTGTCAAAAATTTACCAAAACTGTAATGACCTAATTAGTAGTTTTTCAATGTTGCCCCAACCTGCTAAAAATACCTGTTCCATGGGGGCAGATACAGTATTGTGTTCAGCATCATAAACCCAGGGCATGGCAAGAGCTTTGCAATAAATGTAAACATTTGTTGAATGAATGAATGAAAGTTCTTTGCAAGCCTAGGTAAGGCAGAATTTCCTATTTTTATGAATGCTTCCTAATTAAATTCCAAGTTGCTACAGTTAAGTTTGACAAATGTCTAAAAATAAAAACAGCAGATGTTTGATCTCTGGGTGGTAGAGTTCCTATTTTTTTTCCTTAATCCTTCATTTGTTTTATGCTGTAGGAAATCAACCAAAATACTGGCATCCACCCACACAGCTCATATAACGTTCGTATCACCCAAAGTCAAACATATTCAACATCTACAAAAGATGACTGTTGCCAGTTGGTGTTTAGAAGTATTTTGACTATTGATGTCTGAGCATATCCACTTTTAGATATCACTTTAGCTAATGTGATTTTTAAGATAAAGGAATGATATCAGTAACCAAATGATATGAATCAGTTGGCTAAAATAGCAAGACATTCATTTAACAAAGATAAATCAGGAACATATGGGGTTATGGTAGGAACCCCCAAAATCTACCCTTTATCTTTACAAAATGTTCAAAATTGACTCAATTCAGCAAGGATAAAGTTCTAGCCTCCAGTGAATTCCAAAGGGGGAAAGTGGGACACAATGACTAAGGACAGATGTTTAGACTAAAGGGTCTGCGTCACCAGAAGAAGAAAAAAAATGGCACCGATTCAAATACACGATTAGAAAAGGGTGGTCACACAAAGATCACTTTTTGGTAACTCCCATTTACTGTAATCTATTACAATGAGGCTGAATCCAACACACCACAGCAAGAGGTGAAGCCTATGACTATCGATGCTATTCTGAGAGCATGCCACCTAATCTTTTCTAAGGTTTTATCACTCTAACAACATAAAATCCTATAATGAAGCCAGCAAAGGACATAAGACAAACCCAGTGAATACAAAGTAAGCAGCCATCATCCTTCCATTGTTCTGCAGCCCCATGCACACCTTGCAGCAGCAGTAAACCAGTTATGGCATCCCGGGAAACTGCATCCCCAGGAGCAGCAAGATTTGCTGTTTCTCTGATTCAGCATTCACCCATAGGAAGTTGAAAAGGGGAGGAGAGGGACACAGGAAGTGGGAAAACCCCTGGCAGGCTTGACATGAAGCCTTTAATGAAGACAATATCAACTAACAAAAACTGCAGGTCTCCAGTAAAATCTAACTCTGATTTTTAAAACTGGCAAAGCTTTCTTTAAATTAAGACCTCACAAATTTAAAGAGAATGTTGAAATCATGCCCCCCAGGAACAGCTAAATAAATGCAACATACTCACAGATTTAGAGCAGCTGTAACTTTGGAGGGATGACTATAGCCCCACTGTGAAGATGCTTCTACCAGGTTTTTTAAAAAGCGAACAGAAAAGAAGAAACAATCCTCAATTTAAGAGTCAACAAAAAATGCTCAATTTCTGTTTTATTTCTTGGTCTCCCGTGAGACTCAATTATCAAGCACAAGAAAAGAAGTTGCTGAGGAGGCGGCTGACAGCAACCCAGGGCTTCCCAGGGCAGAATTTAAGTCTTGTCAGTTAAAGTGGCAGCTACACTCACTGCCGGAGCTGATGCTTCTGCAGGAAGGGATGCTGGGAGATTTTTTCCCCTAGTCTCTGCTGCAGCTTAATTCTAATTATTATACTAGGGAAATGGACAAAAAAAAAAAAAATGCAACTAGCCTGGATTATAAAACATAGAGTCTTTCATGATTTTTCACATAATTCAGGCAATCACCTTCACCTAAAGAGGGCTAATTAAAGAATAAAATCAATTGCCTTTTTTGTTTTTAAGAAAAATACAAAAGCAGGTTGATATTCCCAGGTTAGAGTTAAATTTTATATCCCAAGTACTTTTCAAAAATATTAAATGAGGGAAAACCAAGTTCTCTAAAATTTTTCAGTCCAAAAGGTTAAATTTACAATAGCTGAATCAGTGAAGTGAATTAAATATACATATGGCATGTCTCATGTGGCTGATACATGGCATAGCAGTCACACCAAAGCAGTAAAAACGGCATTTTGAAATTAATATTAGATAAATAATATTTGAATTGGTTTTGATAAAACTAAAAACACTAGGCTTTGAGATGATCAGGACTGACAACTTTCTTGGCATTATGTTATCTTGCACATACTATCAATAGAGCAGAACCATTTTTATTTTTATTTGGGGACTCACCATTTTATCCAGTTATGAAAGTATCAAGTAATGGAGTCTGATTTTTCTTGGTTATAAAAAAATAAAGATCTTGGAGAGAACCAGAAAGCAAAGAAGAAAATTGAAATCAGCCAGCCTCATAACCCAGAGATAACCAGAGAATACCACAGCTAGTCTTCTGAAATATTTACTTCTATTCCTCCTCCTATGTTTACTGCTATAGTTTCACATAGTATTATGTTACAACTATGTACCCATAATATGACACATTATTAAACACCTACATTTCTGAAAGTGCTCAAAAGGCAGGGTATATGCAAAGACACCAAGACAGTGAATCTTTGTGTGCTTCTGATTCACTAACACCCAGGAATGCAGGAGTGAGCAGCACAGTGTAACTCCGTACCCTCTTAGTTCTCAGTCCAAAAAAAGAAGTCAGATATTCACCAAACAACAGCTCCTGTGACAGGTGCTGTATTTCAAAAGAGAACAACAGAACACCTTAGAAATATATATAAAAGACCTGACCTTGTGAAGGTCAAGTTTTTCCAAGGAATGAAAAGAGAATTGTAAGATCAAATACAAATTATCAACACAGCATTATTTCACATAGACAATTTCCCATCAAATATCTTTTATCTAATATTCATTTTTCCTATATCAAAAGAAACTTTTTATGAATAAAGTACACAATGTAAAAGAATAATCTAACTTGTATATGAGGAATTACATATGGTAGCCCACCCAGGAAAATTCAGACTTCCTGAAAATGGTGTCACTATGTTTATAAAAAATCTTCAAACTAAAATTAACTCAGAATCACATAAAGACAAAAAGACTCCTTTGAGAATGCTGAAAGAAATCTGGCAATTTGACTTAGGTTTCTACCAACCAACAGGCAAATGATTTATGTAGCTTCTCACCCTTCCTAGGGGAGGAAGAACATAAACCCACCCCTCTATAATTCCCAAATCACTAATAATTTTATAGTGGGGAAACCTGATGAACACAGTAACAGACGTTGATCAAGGTCAATGCTGACAGTGATAAATCATGTGACAGATACTACCCTTTATATGACGTGATAAAAATCGCTCCTACCTTCTGAGGCCTACCTTCAAAGCCCATAGCCCCACTGACCATGAAGAAAATGCCAGACAAATTCCCATGGAGAGGCATCCTACAAAATATTCAACTACTACTGCTCAAACTGTCCAAGGTCATCAAAAGGAAAGAAAACCCTAAAAAACTGTCACAACCAAATAAGTTAAACCCAAGTATTTACTGAATAACATGAGTTTGAGTGATAATGTATTAATATTGGTTATTAATTATAATATCGGTTATTAATTGTGATGTTAATGTAAGATGTTAATCATAGGGGAAACTGGGTATACTATATATGGGGACTTTCTGTATTATCCTCTAAATTTTTCTGAAAATAAAAAGTAACAACTTTTAAAAAATTCTTTCCCAGGTTGTAAGTAACTTTCTATTTTCTGATCAAACAAAAATGGCAGATAAAAGTGATGACAATGCAAAAAGGTATAAAGGAAAGTTTCTGAAATTGTAAGTAATTTGTAATCCCACCATGCTGGAATACTCAACATCAAACTAAATGTGTGATGTTACCATATGTGCTGTTTTTTAAGCTGTGTTAGGCTGACTAATAGACACCCCCAAATATCCAGGTCTTACTATCTGGAATTTATGATTGTTATTAAAGAGACTTAACTGGTATAACTGGGTCTTGAGGTGAGGAGATTAATCTGTATTATTCAAGTGGGCCCTAAAATCACCATCACAAATAACTTATAAGAAGGAGCAAATAGATGTCCTAAAATAATTTCCAGCATAAGAGTGTGTGGAGGCTTCCCCACACACCAACAAGCAGTGTTCACACACTTGTAGGGTATTCAGGAATTTAGCTCAATTCAGACACTACCCAGAAATAGCATTAAATTTTATAGATTAAGGACCCAGACTCCCAAGACTGGCTTCCACTTCAGACACTAGTCAAAAGCCCAGGTTGTTGCCTATGTTTCTGATCAACCAGTTAGAGTGCTGCACACCCCCTCTCAGGTTCAATTAATTTGCTACAGTAGTTCATAGAAAACTCATTAGATGGCCAATTTATTACAAAGGACACTAAAGGATTTAAAGCAGATACATAGGGCAAGGTCCTGAAGAAAGGTACTTCTGTCCTCATGGAGTGTGGGGATTAACAAACATAGTAGCCTTGTGGTTGGTTGGGTCTGAGCCAAGAATGATGACCTGGCTCCTGCCACTGCATGACATTCCTCAGGGCCATGGTGACGGGTTGCCTGATGCTTAATGAAATATTTCTATTCTCTCTGAAGATGTGATAGCATCAGTGCCTGAGAACATCTTCAGGTCACTTTAAATTCATAGTGCCTACATGAGCAACTATTCCAGAAATGCCTCAATCGTATTGTGACAGATTTCCCGAGGCTGTCCAACATCCTCTACCCACATCCCACACATACCCATATATTTTTTTCTCTTTCCTATATATCCTTCCTTCACTTACCATTCAAAGAGGAAGTTTCTTTAAAATACTAACTGCCATTCTCCCAGGGTGGGGCCATGTTTTAGAAAAGGGCTTCCTCTGTGAGAACAATCTAAAGGCTCATAGTCTGACTTTCTGAGCACCAGTAATAAAAACTGATGAGGTGAGTAAAAGCACCTATATCTATATTTCTTCTTTTCAATTATCAACATACATATTTCTCCATCAAAGTATACTCTTTCTTGATCTGCCTTTTGGTATCAGTGATTTGCACATAGACCCAAGTTTTTTCCCCTCTTTTAATTTAGGAGAGTTTTGTTATAATGGTCAACACTGTCAATCACACTCTCTGTTGGTGGTATCAGGTTTAAAACATACTTGCCAACAAGATGATACATATTATTTGCTTTTCATATCTCAACAACTCTTTTTCTTTGTTACTATGCACATACCATATCCCTACATCCTTCAGCTCCTGAACTAGAATCAACACCAAGAGTAGGAGGGAGATTTTTATTTTTAATAATATAATAGTTTACTTTTACATCATTTTGTACTTTTTTTTTTCATCTCAATTGTAATCCCCATGTGTTTCCCATCACCAAGTCACCCATGTGCCATCACCATAGTCTAGGAGGGAGATTTTGACAAGGGAAACTTTTTGGAGACTTCCCGGAAATCCCCATCCACACCCATCTCCCATAGCCAAGTCTGTCCCCGACTCCCTTACCCCCATCAAAAGCTAATTCAATAACTGCTGTGAAGAATATGCGCTATCAGCATTTCTTAAATCATGAAGACATCAGGTCTGATGAGGCGAGTCTCAGAAATGGAGAAATGGTCAAAGATGACAGTTTTGCTTACTTCTCAAGTAGTTGTTAAATTTCACAAACAAATGAAATTAATTTTCTTATAGTAACTATGTAGAATTATAGCATACACTGACAATCTCTTAAATCAATAAGAGATTTTACATACAGAACTTTACACACACACATACACACACCATTTCCCCACATAAAAGTCAATCTCCCTTGCAGAAAACACTCTTAACAATCTTCTAATAGTACTGACCACAGAGGATTCCAAAACTAGTCTTAATACCTTTAGAAATGCTAACTCATCAGTTATTTGAGGCTTTTAATATTTTGGGTTTTAGTTGAGTTTGAGTTTTATCCTTACAAGTATTAAAAAATGTAGCACGCTGGATTGAAACTTTCCTTTGGAGCAACATCATAAAAAAATTAACATAGAAATTACACAATAAATAACAAATAAATTCCCAAATAACTCATCAGTTTTAAGTAATCTGAGTTCCTCATATTTGTTTGTGGCTATTAGAGCTCCACACTATTTATTAGCTAGGTATGATACATGACACTGAACTACAAATTTCTTATAAATGAACCCAATCCAAATATCACTTTGCCTTTAAGGAGTTCAACCCATGTAATTTTACAAACATGAGACAATTGGAAGAAAAAGAGAAATTTACTAAGCATCAAAACATAAGGAAAGGTGAAGTTTGAAACATTTCAAGAGGCAAAACTCATGAAATCTGCTTTTGCAGTGTTTTATTGGTCATTTTAGTTTGCTATTTTAATCAAAAACTGATGACTGTATCAGAAAACAAAGCAGTAGAAACTTAACAAAGGGCAGTGAAGTTCACTGTAAAAGGTAACTCGTTGACACAGGTGAACAGTGAGTCAGTTCCTTGTTGAGATAGTACTTACTAGGACCAAACAATGGGGAATTACCTAATTATGTCTGTATGTGGGTTAGCACAAGCAGCTATAACAAGCATTTAAG